GTCTAAGAGAGCATGGCGCAGGTTACACCCTCTACTGGTCAGGCAAACCAGCGACAGAGACACCTTTCAGGTGTCAGCTTCATGATCAGGGACTCCATCGCTATCAAGCTTGCAAGCCTGCCAACCGGCCACTCTGACCGCATCATCTCAATGCGTCTACCACTTCGTGACCAGCAACACTCCACACTGTTTAGTGTGTATGCTCCAACTCTCCAGGCAGACCCTGCTGACAAGGACAAGTTTTATTCCGACCTACGCAGCCTTCTGCAGGATGTTCCAGCTGATGACAAGATTGTCAGCCTGGGCGACTTCAACGCCAGAGTGGGCAGAGACTCGGAAACCTGGAAAGGCGTACTTGGAAGGCATGGTGTGGGCAGCTGCAACGATAATGGACGCTTGTTACTCAAACTCTGCGCGGAACAGCAGCTTTCCATTACCAACACTATCTTCCAGCAGAAAGACAGTATGAAGACAACCTGGATGCACCCTCGGTCAAAACACTGGCACCTCATAGACTACATCCTAGTGCGCCAGTGTGATCTAAAAGATGTCTTTCACACCAGGGTAATGCCCAGCACCGAGTGTCACACAGACCACCGCCTTGTCCGCTGCAAACTCAGCTTCTACTTTGAGCCCAAACCAAGGAAAGCTGGCGCCCAGAGGAAGAAGCTCAAAGTCTGCAGCCTTCAGCCTGCCGCGGTCAAGGCAGTTTTCCAGGAGAGCCTACGATCCAGGCTAGAGGAACCGAGCTGCCTAGCAGACTCACCTCCAGATCCAGAAGTGCTGTGGGATCGTATCAAAACCATTGTTCTGCAAACATCTGAAGATATCCTTGGATTCTCCACGAAGAAGAAAAGGGATTGGTTCAATGAGAACAACTTAGAAGTCCAAGAGCTGCTGTCAAAGAAGAGGTCAGCACACCAGGCCCACCTGGCCCAACCATCCTGCCCGCACAAAAAAGCAGCCTTCCGTCTGAAATGCAACACTTTCCAGCGCAAGCTTTGAGAGATTCAGAACGAGTGGTGGACCAACCTCGCAGTAAGAACTCAGCTTTGCACTGATACTGGTGACTACAGGGGATTCTACGAAGCTCTAAAACCGGTATATGGCCCCTCGTACCAAATCCTGAGCCCCTTGCAGAGTGCAGACGGAAAAGAACTGCTCACCGAAAAGGACTCTATCCTGAACTGCTGGTCTGAGCGCTTCTACACCCTCTTCAATGCTAGCCGCTCAGTCCAAGAACCAGCGATTGACCGCATCCCACAACAACCAGTGAAAACTGAACTGGATGTGGCACCAACATTACAAGAGACTGAGGAAGCCATTGAACAGCTGAAGAGTGGTAAAGCTGCAGGAGTTGATGGCATCCCTCCTGAGGTATGGAAGAACGGAGGCCCAGCACTGTACACCAAACTCCATGAATTCTTTGTCTGCTGCTGGGAGCAGGGTAAACTCCCTCATGACCTCAAGGACGCAGTCATCATCACCCTGTACAAGAACAAAGGGGAGAAGTCAGACTGTTCCAATTATCCCAGCATAACACTTCTGTCCGTCGCCGGCAAAATCCTCGCAAGAGTACTGCTGAATAGACTGGTACCTGCGATAGCAGAAGATCACCTCCCAGAGACACAGTGTGGCTTCAGAGCCAACCGGGGAACCACAGACATGGTGTTTGTCCTGAGGCAGATTCAGGAGAAGTGCCGGGAGCAAAACAAAGCGTTGTACGTCACCTTTGTGGACCTGACAAAAGCGTTTGACACCGTGAGCAGGCAGGGACTTTGGAAAATCCTGGAAAAACTAGGCTGCCCACCGAAGTTCCTCACCATGATCATCCAGCTTCATGAAGACCAGCTTAGACAAGTCAGACATAGCAGCAACCTCTCGCAGCCTTTCCCTATTGCAAACGGTGAAACAGGGCTGTGTTTTTGCTCCCACACTGTTCACCATTTTGTTCAGCATGATGCTCCAGCAGGTCACAGAGGACCTCGACAACGCTGATGGCGTATACATCTGTTTTCATCTCAACGGGAGCGTGTTCAACCTGAGGCGTTTGCAGGCCCACACAAAGATCATGGAGAAACTGATCAGTGAGCTGCTGTTTGCTGACGATGCCGCCCTTCTTGCTCACACAGAGGCAGCTATGCAGTGAATTACGTCTTGTTTCGCAAAAACTGCTCAGATCTTCGGTCTTGAAGTCAGCCTGAAGAAGACTGAAGTTCTTTATCAGCCTGCACCCCACAAGGAGCACCATCCACCAAGCATCTTCACTGAACAAACAGAACTGAAAGTTGTCCACCAGTTCAGCTACTTGGGGTGCGTGATCTCGTCTGACGCCAAGATCGACAAAGAAGTCAATAACAGACTGGCTAAGGCAAACAGTGCATTCGGCAGACTATACAAATGTGTCTGGAACAACAGCAACCTCAAAAGAGACACGAAGGTCAGCGTCTACAAAGCTGTTGTGCTGACCACTCTCTTGTATGGCGCTGAGTCCTGGGTCACGTACCGTCGTCACCTGAGTCTCCTCGAACGTTTCCATCAGCGCTGCCTCCGCACAATCCTCAATATTCATTGGAGTGACTTCGTCGCCAGCACTGAAGTCCTCGAGTTAGAGGAGGTCACTAGCATCGAGGCCATGGTCCTCAAGATACAGCTTCGCTGGGGAGGGCACATCGCCAGGATGGAGAACCACCGCCTACCCAAGATCGTGTTGTATGGGGAACTGTCCTCTGGCTACCGCGACATAGGGGCACCACGAAAGCGGTACAAAGATTCCCTGAAGAAGTCCCTCACTGCTTGTTGTATCGATCACCGTCAGTGGGCAACACAAGCAGCTGATCGCAACTCCTGGCGGCATACAGTCCACCAGGCCACCTCCTTCTTCGAAGATACCCGCAGGGCCTGTATGGAGGACAAAAGGAGAAGGAAGAAGAACCGTGACCCCTCAGCACCTATCCCGGATCAGACCTATATTTGCAGCCGTTGTGGCAGGGGCGGTGGGGGCAGGCCCTGCCTGTCCCGCATAGGCCTCATCAGCCACCAGCGTGCCTGCAGAAGACGTGGATTTCTTTCCTAGATCTTCGTTCGCAAAGTCAAGCCATGATGATGGACAAATTAGATAGAGATTTCTATGGGGTTCAAGTCCCATTGGAATGGTGCACCTGGGTCCTGAGGCAAGTCCCTTTGACTTAGCCTTCTCAGAACTCATCTGACCTCAGTGTCTTTATTTTTTAAGAGTTTGGCAGGTGTACGAAAGGCTCAAGGCAGGTGGGTGGGAGGCTCAGGACTAAGGAGGGAGGTTGGCAGGCGAGTTAAGGCTCAGAGGAGGCCCAAAGCCAGCTGGGTCTGTGCTGTCCTGCCAGCGGCTCAGTCCCAGGGAAGGGGTGGAGCTGTGCTGCCCTGCTGGTGGCTTCTCCTGGGGTGGGGTGCAGCGGTGGAAGCTATGCTGTCCATCTCTGCCAGGCAGATGGTCCTTTGGGTGGGGACGCTGGCCAGCGGGGTTTCCTTCCCCCCCATTGGATCCGAATGCCTGGGAGTTTGGCTTGAGGCTTTGAGAGAGGGAGGCCACATACCCAGACAGTGGCCTACAACATGGAAAGCCCCAGCCCCAGCTGGCCACTCTCTTACCGGTGCAGCTATCCCTCTCTGGTCACTCTGGAATAATATTGTTCCCCTGCGCTCACTGCCCCCTTAAGGTCACTGAGGAACATAACTGTCCAGAATATTAGAACTCTGCTTTTCTGTGTTATGGAAAACAATCTGATTCCAGGCACATCTCATTGTCCTGGAATCTTGCTTTAAGTTATGGTAAGAGGAAGCTGCATACCAAATGTGGTGATCCTAGCTCTTATGGTTTAGGAGGAGTTCTTGAACAAACGGACTCACAGATGGAGACAGACAGACAGACAGAAACCCACATTTCTAAAATATATAGTAGAGAAGATTTTGGGACCTCTTCTTGAACAGTTCTATTGCCTCCATTCAAGACTCTAGAAATTTGCAAGGTGAGAGGGATATAGGCCTCAGTGCTGCAAAGACTTGGGTGTGTCATTTTCAATGGTCTGATGAAAATCTGTTTTGGTTTTGGCTGAATTATAAAGATTTAAAATATATTCTTCACTCTAGTCCCTGTTACTCTGATGCTTATATAAGTGTTTCCAGCTGTCACGATTTTACCCAGAACCTTGCAAAGGCTAGCACTTCTGGAGTCTTGTAATTATACGAGAAGCTCATTTTCTGCACTCCTGGTTGCAATGAAAAGCTGAAGCATGTAAACAGGAAATGCTGGGAAACCAGAAGGCAAATCAGCAGAACCCAACATGTGTGTGTTTAACAGCTCAGGCTTTTAAAGCCAAATCTCATGATTTGGGGGCCTGACACATAGTTTCTGTTTTGGGGTGCCAGATGGTTTCAACAAAAATACGGGACACACTTGATATTACATCACAATCTACATCTTATTTAGAAAATTCCAGACATTTACATTTTCTCAATTTGTTTCCCGAACAGAAAGCTCAAATACTGGACTGTCCTGTTCAAAACCCAACACCTGGCAGCCCTATAACATTCTGCATGCTTTAGCCTACTAACAGTTTGACACTTTCCCCCCTTTTTGGAGCTTAGTCGCAGAGAGGTTAGTGAACCAGCTGCTGCCCTCCCGTTAGGGCGCCCCACTTGACCCCTTTTGCCCCAAACAGTGCAGACTCGGGAGCCCAGTCAGACCGCCCTGGTGCCGGAACGTTAGTGCCGCGGTGCGCGGGCGGGGGGAGGCAAGTACTAGTGATGCACAACGCGGAAGTGAGCCGGGCCGCAGTCAGATCCGGGGGGGAGGATGGATGGAGCCTGGGGCTGCCCCACGGGGCCGGGGCGCGTTCCCGCTCCCCAGTCCCTGGGAGCGGCGGGGAGG